ATTGAAATACTAACCTAATTAAGATTTATTTTTCACATAGTGATGTCTTAGCATATTTATCTTTTCTAAAAATAAATATTTTGTAATAATTTGAATAAAAGTATATAAAATTCTATTCAAGCATAATTCTATTGGAATGAAATAGGATTCTATTAAAATGAAAAAGATTCTATTGAAATAATATTATTTTATTTTAATCATTTAAATAAAAAGTTTTCGTAATTGAATAATTTTTTTAAAAATAAACGTAATTGAATAAAAAAAATTATTTAATTGAATGAGATAAATGTATTTAAACAAAAGTTTTATTTATTCAAATAAGAGTTTTGTAATTGATTGTGATACTTATTTGGATGCGAATAATATATATTTGAATACAATACGTTTCAAATTGTCTACCGTTTATTTTTGTACAGATTTGTAAAAAAAAAAAAAAAAAGTGTGGAACTGACAAAACTCTTCTCTACCAAATGAGCGAGATTTTTTTATTTTTCGCTTATTTCGTCGCCTCCTCTCTTATTTCTCTGCTATTTCGTCACTACCAAATACGATATAGAGGAGGAAAAAAATTAAAATATATGGAATAAAAAGAAAAGGAAAAGGGGTTTTAATTAATTTTCTCACTCACTCTTTTTTTTTTCTTTTTCGTTAAATCAATCCTTGTAAACCCCTTATCTTTTTTCATTTTTTTTATACCTATCACATTTAAGATTTTGTGACTTTCTTTTTCTTTTTCTGTTTTCCTTAATTATCTCACCCCTCGTAAAGGAGTGGTAGATAAAGTTCACCGAAATAAAAGAATGCGTGGTACGTACCGTGCAACAAAAAAATGATGAAAAGAAATAATTAATAACAAGGTTAAAAATTAATATGGATGTTGCGATGCAGGTGCAGAATATGCAGAAGCCGTTGGTGGATATTAATACGAGTCATAACTAGCTAAGTTTACATATGCTCTGCATCTTTTTCGTTTCACTGCAAGGTCGATATTATAGAAAGAAATAAATCTGTACAAAACAAATTAACTAGATGTAAAATGGAAAGAAAAATAAAATAAAAAGAGAAAGTAAGTGTATATATACTAATATTGAAGATAAGTAGTAAGTAGCAATTTGTCACATATTTTAAATAACTTTTTTAGATAATAAACTCTCTTAATTTGGTTGTTAAATGGTGTGATTTTTTAAAATAATTGTGTATACTATATTTTGGAAATTAAGTTTAATTTAATAAAAATATATTTTTATGTCGTTCTTTATACTTTTTACTTGGATTGTTAGTTAATGATCCATTGATGGTTTGACGAGAGTTGGAAGCCGAAGACCACCTATACAAATGGATCTAAGAAAAATGATGAAACTGTTGCTCACTTTGGCTAATTGGTGATCTGCGTGTTATGTTATCTTCTAATTAATGTTTGTCTTTTCCATCCACTTTGCTAAGTATCCACCAGGTACCAACTTCACACTAATAACAAACTTTCGAAAATAAAAACTACAAAAATTATACTTTACACTACAAAGATAAAGATTGCAGTATAAGTTGTATAACATATTTCAATTATGTTAAATTATGGGTTGAGTGACAAGGAGAGTATAGGTTCGAATCTCCCCACTAACAACTAATAATTAACAATTAATATTTGCCGTTCAAAAAAAAAAAAGTTTAATAACCCATAATTTAAATTTGTACAATTTAATATAATCATAATATATATATATATATATAT